AAATTAACTACTCATATTTTTAATTGTTTAATGTATTTATGCCCAATCTCATATTATATATATACATATATATATATATACACACCAAAATTTGTTGTATAAAGTGTCATCATCATTTTCTATGTTCACGATACGCGTGTTCCTAGCATAATAAGGATTAGAGAGTTGGTGATGGATTATAAACATTGGTTTATGACAATTAATTTAAGAGTTGTATTATACTTTGTCTAATTTACATTTCAACAAAGTTCACCTTGATATTTAATAATAAGATATTTATTATTATTTGTTAATAAATGTTTCTAATTTACTATGGATGTGTTTTAGTTTACCAATGTTTTTATAGGTGCTCAATTGGTATGGTTTACAAAGAGATTATTGTAAATGTATTGTTAGACTTACAAGATTAATTATGATTAAGATTTTAACGCCACCGAACATGGGGAAAAAACTAATATATATATATATATATATATACAAGAAAGAGAGTAAATACAATAGAAGACAAAACCCTAGGACCCTCTTACACCATTTCCTCTATATTTATATATAGAGAATCTCTCTCTCTCTCTCTACACACTCTCTCTCTCTCTTTCATTTTGAGATAAGCTTTTCTGTGGAGGACTATTGAATAAAAATTATAAAATCAATGGTCAAAATACATGAACTTTCGATCCAACTAATGTGATTAAGATAAATAAACTATAATGTAACATTTTTTAATATACAACAATAACGTAATTAATCAATTGGTGTTCTTTTAAACGAAACTCGACTTGTTAAAAGCTTAATGCTATATGCAAAACATAAAGTACTGTCTTGAATAAGTCTTGTGAAAATTATATATATATATATATATATATATGTGTACTGTCTTGAATAAGTCTTGTGAAAATTATATATATATATATATATGTGTGTGTGTGTGTATATATATATATGGTGAGTAGTAAACATAGTTTGCGTAAATTGAGAGGGATAATGATTTGGAGATTGAAAATAGGTTTAATAAAAACGAGAGAGAGAGAGAGAGAGGAGAGAGAGTGAAAAGACAAGTCAAACGTCAAATCGGACCTCTTCTTATCATACGACTGTCAGTGCCCTTCTGTGTTGTCATTCTTTCTCCCCCCTTCTCTATCTCTCTCCTCTCTCTCAGCCAATAAAAAAAAACAAATATAGAAAAGGAAAAAAGAACAGTGTCTTTCTCTCTCTAGATTTTTTCTTACGTAGAATACAGAAGTAGCGATACTGCTTCACACGTGCGTGCGTGCGTGTGTGCATGCTCATACGCGTGAACTAAACTACTACTACTACTACCATGGACGGACAATGGGGTCACGTGCCCCATTTATATAGTTAAACAAATTTATTTCTTTAGAAATTTCATAAATTTTTACATAAAAATTATTAAATGATTTTATAATGAAATTAAATACGTCTCTGTAAAGTTACATGTATATTCATTTAAAAAAATTAGATCCGTCATTGACTATTACTAAAAAGAGAATATTAACTATGTGTTCATGTCGTGTTGTGTGTGCGTGTCATATGGTATTATATGAAAATTAAAATGAAATTTGAGTGGTTAAATGATGGAATTATAATTAAGGAGTTGGGGTAATATTGACAGATGAGATTAGGGGAGGCAAATATACACCACAACCCTATCCACCCGGCCGACACGCTTCTCCATTCCTTTCTTTAACACCCCCTCCCTCCCCCTCTCTCTCTCTCTTTTTTAAATTATTTTTTTCACTTAAATATGCCAAAATGTTGTAAATATAATATTAGTATTGTCAAGAAACCAGAAGAAAGATTGGAAGACCACCCCTGTAAATTAAAATATGTTTGAACATATATATATATATATATATTGATAATCATGATGTTCATGGTACCTTCGACTCACTTAATTCTCTGGATTCAGAGTCACCCTTTAATCACACAATTAATTGTGTTTCCTTTTTTCCACGAACACGAATCCAGAATCTTAAAATAATTTTGTCACCTCTCAACTATTTGACTACCACCTGTTAGATTATATATATATATATATGTGTCGATCACACTCGGGATTTGAAAATTACCGATGTCACTACAACATCATACGCTAAACAACATCGGTGATTGAAGATTAGCCATGAAAGAGGTTGGATTTATAATTCCAAATACGAGTTATCAATTTATATAGACAATAGATGATCGTGTTAAACGTGTTTATAAGCAATTAGCAGACCCAAACACTACAAGAAAATCTTAATATAGCGACAGAATTTGCGACGGAACTTTTCCGTCGCAAAGAAATTACGACAGAATTCGACGAATTTGTGACGGAATGCGAAAATTTTTATTCTGTCGCAATTAGTCGCAAAATCCGTCGCAAATTTGCGACGGAATACGACGGAAACGTTGTCGTCGCAGAACCAAATATTATTTGCGACAGAAATTTTAAAATTGCAGATTTGCGACAGAAATTTCTGTCGCAAATATTAATTTTATTTATTTTTAAATTAAAGTTATTTATTTTTGGAATTTGCGACAGATTTGCGACAGAAATTTCTGTCGCAAATC